CCTACCTGATCTGGAGCACCCCCAGAATCATGCTGCCTCTAGTGCAGGACCCATCCAGCTTTGAAGATAAGAGCATTGGAATGGGCCTGGGTGGTCAGCTATTGAACAGCAGCACCATGAACCAGAGGGGCTACAAGCTGCAGCTGGTCAAGCAACTGATGCAAATTTCCATCCCTTATGGGGCAGTGGGAGGGTACCTGGAGGTAAATGGTTCTGGAACAGTACATGGAGCTCCTGTGGAACATGTCCTGTTTCCTCTGTTCATGCTCACTATTGCCAACCTTGTTGCAGAGCCGTGTTATCGACAACCATTACAACCAGCGTTACTCCATTGACTTGTTCTTTGAGCACCTGTGGGCAGATGACCAGTATGAAGTGACGCAACACTGCATGTTTGTGCCAGTGAGCACCCCGTTCATCCCCCAGACACCCTTCACTATTGACCGTAAGTGAGCAATTGTTTGGGTTATTGGTACTTGATTATCATGGCTTGTGCATTTTAAGATTGCTCATCTGCAGTATTAATTCAGGATCTTAATTTAGCTATAGTCTTTACATTGGACTTTGTCATTCATGAACTGAATGGGCCATTAAGGTTCCTCTGGTGGGATCTAAATCAAAGTTTGGCGTGCTCCCTGGCAATGTTATGACTTTCATCTGTTATCTTGGACTGTTGAACCAGCACGGAAGCCAAGATGCTATGTAGTCTTCAAATGTAATGTCCACAGAGACCATCCCAGAAGAGAAGATGTTCACAGTCTACCTGGGCATCTTCAATCCTGATGTGGAGCTGAAGGCCCTCAACCTTAATGGGGTGCCCTTGACTATGCCTCAAGTCCAAGCCAGGGGCTTCCCAGTCTCTGAGGTTCAGTACCCTAATGGCACCCATGCATACGTGCTGAAGGTCCCCTTCCAAGACCCCATAGTGATTAAAGATGTAAGTCCTCTTTTTTTTTTTTCAGTACAAGGGAGTAAATGGATTTTTATTGCTAGTGTCTTGTCTTACTTGTGGGCTAAAACAAATTACTGTTGCCCTTTTCAGTACATCTCCAAGGGTGTAAACCGGTATACTCTGAAAATCAACTACACCCTGAACATAATCCCCAAGGATGACCCCTATTATCATCCAGCAACTGTAACCCAGGACATCAAAGACATCTGTGAGTTGCTTGCCCTTGATCACTTTTACCAAGTGTCTCATTCTGCATGAGAGCGCTATATTGTTGCTTGTCTTCTAGTGCCTCCTGAGGTCACCGGTGTGTGCAAGAACCAGAGCATCCTCTTCACTGTGCAGAAAGAGGAAGTGAACAATATATGGCTCCTTTACATTGGAGAGGATCAGCTCACCACTGAGCTGGCAGCAGAGCGGGGCTACATTCTCCAGAATGGCTCCATGACCCTGGTCCTGGAGGTTCCACTTTTTGCTGTTGGATTTTCTTATGAGGTATATCTAGTGTTGTTCACGAACTCCATAGAATAGTCTGTGTGTGACTTGCTTTTGAAGATGTGCACAAAATCCATGCTTCCAAAAAGCTAGGACAAATATTGGGTTCTAGCATTGGTGCACTGGAGCAGTCGACTGTTAAGTTGAGGTCACCTAAGGTGATGGATTACTTGGAATTTCACTTCCCATACCCAAGCATAGATCACCTATACAAAACTTCTCCTTTGGCTCCTTAAGGAAGTCTCCCTGACGGATTTCTACGCCTCCATTACTATCAATGTCAAGGATTACAAGACTCTGGAAGTGGTGAACTCCACTAGGATACGCTGTCTATTTTCAACCACGGAGCTCTTGGGTAGGTTTGGACTTGCTGCAGTTCAAGTGATCCAACTTATTTGAAGTGCTACTCTGGATTATAACAATGTTCCTCCCCCCCCCCCCCCCCCCAACAGTGTGCATGCCCAATGGCTTTATGACTGCAGTGGTCTCGACTACTGTGCCTGTGCCCTATGTGGATCCCAAGAAGACCACGTTGCTGGACAAGAAATGTGGACCCAAGGAGGCAGATGACACCAGGGCCCTGTTCAACTTCAGTGTGTCCACTTGTGGCACAAGGAGATATGCAAGTATCCCTTCATGCTACCAGCAATGCTTCCTTTTGCACTAGTCTTCAAAACAAAAAGTAACAATTTATTTTTTTTGAAATGCAGGTTACTGGCCAGTACCTGATCTATGAGAATGAGGTGGTATACACCCGGGTGTTGTACCCCTACAATGCCCCCGTCATCACCAGGGACACTGAATATAGGTAACTAACATGGGTTGGGGGGGGGGGTTGTTAAGCAGTCTAAGCACCTGCTGTCCAAAAGAAAGCTACAACTTTCTTCATTACTGTGGAACAGTTGAGGTGAAGGCTGAAAGGGGCTTGGATTTAAAGTCCTTGACTACTAACCCTTTGGGTTTATGGAGCATAAACTAAAATGTGATCTTAGACTGAGAAATCAACTTGCAGTGTTGAGGGACTCCTGTTCTGTCACAAGTATCAACCTACATTTTAAAGCTGACTTGCAAGTAGATCAGTGATGCTACCAAAACCTAGATAAATGTCCTCTGATTAGTGTAACTGTCCTGGTGAGGGTTGCTGCCATAAGCAAAATGTGCTTAACTTCCATAGCCCTTTAAATTCAGTTCCTTATGCTGTAGCAGGGAGCATTTAGTCACCTGGTGTTGCAAGAAACTGTCTAAATGTGAACATTGTTTTCCAGGCTCACCATCCGCTGCTACTACCCAATTAATGGCACCAGAGATGTCTTTGTGGATAGGGAGTTTGTCCCAAAAACACGAGGCTATGGTTCTCTGATTGCTTCAGACACCTTGACACGTAAGGACTTTTTTCCCTCTCCATGAGCAACTTCATTATTGACACTAAGCTTTCACTCCCAGATAATTAACTTATTTGGTGCTTTCTGTGTTTTAGGTGTCAAACGACCCAGAGCTGCCTTTGGATCTCAATCCCGGATTGTAAGAGGTAAGTATTCTTCATTTTGGATTCCAGTAATGTCTATAACTGGACAGACTAAGTTTTTTTTATTATTCTAGGTGCTGCTTGGTCAGGTGATGTTCAACAGGATGCCTTGACAGGTAACTGGCTTAAACTCTTTGACTTTCCATAAGCAGTTGGCTTCTATTTTTAACATCTTTTTCTCTTCTAGGTGCTGAGCCAGAAGTGAATTATGTGCCAGTTCTAGGAGTAACCATAGCAGTCTTTGGAGTTCTGCTGCTTGTTTCAATGTTCTTCATTGCTATGAAACATTAAATATCCTTGTATTCTAAAATTAAATGATTGACTTTGAACAGTATCCTCTGTATCTTCTTGTCATGGGGAGGGAGTTCAAGATTTGGCTAGAATTGGTATACAGGTTCAAGCCCCTTGTTCTTTAATGTCTCATGTGCTGAGAATTAAACCTGACTAAAATTAGGCAGAACCAACCTAAGCATTCTAATGGGCCCTGAATGCAGCACCTCCAGTGCATGTGAAATTGTAACCCCATTTCTGTATGGGTAGCAGAGGCACTCTTCCACTAGGCTAGCTTTGCTTTTTCACATTTTCAACTGGCTCCTTGTCCTGTGCTTTCCAAAGGACATTGCAGATGTCAAGAACTATGGTCTCCTTCATGGAAATTAATAAAGTATCTAACCACTTTAGCTCTGTCTGCTATGAGACTTAATGCTGTTTTCATATCCCTGGGTTTGTAATCATACCTACCCTGCAGTCCTGATTTGCAGCAGTGATGTGGGCTATTGTAAGACCCTTTGCTGTATTAGTTTCGCTTTGCTTTTTAAGGTAAGCGAATTGGAAGCTTTAACCAGCTTCTCTACATGTAATTTTGAACATTTCCACTTCTAGGGCTGGTTTATTTTCTGAGCTCACTTCATTATTCATGTGGGGATATTTAGGCAATGAAAGCAGTAACTTGCACATGCTGTAGAATTCTTCAGGTGTATAAGCCACCCTCTTTAATTAGGTCCATAGCTTTGTGCATGGGGTGGGGACCTTAAGTGGTTTTTACACACCTATTGTCTAGAATTGAGACCCTAATTTCTCTGGATTAAAACTGCTCCACTTGCAAGACTAGCTGACCAGTCTCCCTCCAGTGCTATAGGAATTATTGGTGTGCTAACTAAAGGCTGGACAATCTGGTCTCCATTCAAATTGGTTATCTACCCCTCTCCCCACTGAGTGGATGCACAAGGTGTAGCTGAAGTTGCCAGCCTACATATTCATACTCCATCCTTTCCTCTTTCCCAGGGTTTTACTGGGCTTAATGAGTAATTTTATGTGCATGATGTTTTGACTTGGTAAGCTGTTAAGCTCTCCCCTACACAAGACTAGTTTGCAGAGGTTCTGGGAATTAAAGCAAGTTTTCAAGGTTCATGAAATCCCCTTGTCACATTGAGCATGTTCCCAGTGTCCAGGAGGGAAGGAACAGACTAAAGTCAGTTTAGTGCTGGTGAAGAGGTAGAGCCCTACAGCAATAGTTCAAAGATGTGAGGTGGGTCAGCTGGGGGCTGGAATGGACTTCAGTAAATGGAGAAAGGGGTCTGGTCCTGGTTTAACTAGTCCGGTTAAAATCTTATCTTAATTGACCTGCCGTGCTTTATAGTGCTGTTGTTCAAACAAGCAGGAGGCGTTATATTATCGCAAAAAGCCACTATTGCAGTGCTTTCGCGTTCAGAGATGTATTAATACTTTATTGAAATGTCGGACTGTCCTGCCACTTTCCGAAAAGCTATTCCGAAATGTTGCATTACGCTGTTTTAAACGGGAAATACAAATTCATCTTTTCTGTAAACTTTAATGTTGGAAGCTGGTGTTACGCTGGGATTCTGGTTGAATCGCTTCAATTCACTATGCATCAGGTCGTTTGCCTACACACCGATCACACGAATCAACGATGTTCTAATTTATTGCTGAATTTCATCCTAGATAATGTACATGCAGTTTTAGTCAAATATTAGGGTGAAAAAATGATAAAATAACCGAAGTTAAATTTGTTGGAGTTATCCATCTGGTCTTAAAATTAGATAAAGTTTGGCATCCGCCAGTCTTCCCCTCCGCCGATGCACAGGGAAAGTTTCCTTTCGATAGGGGGCGATATGTCCTCGTCTGTGCCGAGATTCAAATCGAACAATACGAGCAATGCATTTGTACGTGTTACCAGCGTTTTCTTTTGCGTGAAAATCTCAGGTCCTTATTTTTTTAATAAGACCTCGTGACATTTAACCTTGAAGAGAAGGCGCAAAGATGATTTCTCGACTTTACGTCCAGCCGCTTCCTCAGTAACTCATCGGAAGCGGATACGGAGACTGCTGCAAATTTTGCCAACATCGTCAACTCAGGTAAGAAAAGTGTCTGTTTCCGCTTTTATTTCTAAAAAAAACAATTGACTTTCTTCAGGGTTGACTATGTTGTATAGTAAACCGAAGTAAATGAAGGAACCGGTACCTCCAGAAACGTAGTAACTTGTCGGCCGTTTTGCTGACCTTCTTGCCGCCATTAATTCACTAATCCCGATTTTGACATGTTTTTCACTTTCTCACATTTCACTTTTACTTGTTCTGAAGAAAATAAAAAAAGCTTGGTTTATGTCAAATGCCAAATATCATAGACTGTTTTTTTTGTATTGTTTTATTCGTGCAAAAAGAAAAAACATGGTGCTGTGATTCTCCTCACATTTTGAAGGGCCATTGCCGCTACAAATGCGTGGGACCCTAATGGGCATTCCAGCTGGTTCCTGTAGAAATGATCAGCTGGTTTCTAATGGCATTAACTGGAATATATTAGTATGAACTGGTTTAACCCATGAGCAGTTTAACACAGTTACAGTGTTTGTCACCAGTTGGGGAGTTTTTTTTTGTAAAAACTGAGAGGCCCCCCAAACAAAGCTAGTCCACTCATCTCCTCCTTCCGGGTCTCGCTGTCTTTGAAGGCGGTGAGCTTAAATGGTTAATAATGGGTGATTCCATTAACCAGCAAAGGAGTTGATTCCTTGAATGGCTGTCTTGCTTGTAGAGCCCCATGGCCTGTTCTTCAGTCTGGGGTGTTCAGCCTTGTTGGCAGTGCCCTTTCCAATTCAGCTGTTCAAGCCTTATCATCCTCTGGGGGCAATTTGTTTTACAGCCCAGTCCAATGCAACAAGGACAGACAAACATTATGGACTGAGATAATGGCACAATAGCCTTACGGGAGATAAGAGAATTACTTTAAGTTGAAGGGCCTTGTCCAGGGAAATGCATTCCCAGAATAGGCGGATGACGGTTTGGATCCTGTTGCCCGTGTTCAAAGAACCGTTTCTGTTGTGCTTCTGCTCTTAAGGTGCTGCTAAAGAGGGCTCAGCGGTTGCGAGGATGGCTTCCCCTGTTGCCACGGCAGCTGGCAGGGTGATTGACAGGCAGGCCAATGGGGAAGCAGCCGGCGAGGGACACCTGGGGGACTCTGGAGAGCTGAAGAGGGGCTCTGACCAGGGCTTCGCTGGCCTCTCCACTCACATGCGGCAGGTACTGGTGTCTGCAGAATGCCCCCTTTTATTGTGTGAGCACGAGGGCATGAGAATGGCTACAATGACCAGAGTCTGCCATTTGACCAATTGTGGTCACTTGGACACCCGTAGACTATTGCTTGAAGAATCTAGCCATTCCTTTGGTTGTCCGCAGCTCCGTCGCTTTCCCTGGAATGGTTTGTGCCAGACATCCACAACTCTCTGTGGAAAGCATAACGTAACGGTCTCCACAGCGTGTTTTCAGACCTGAGCTTCATCTTCCGTGTGTCCTGGGGGTGGGGACGGGGCTTGGGGGTTCATTTTGACAGTCCTTCCTGAGGTCTGCTTGACCTTTTTCCGCGTGACCTCTGTATCTGGGGGTCGTGGGGGTCAGCGGCACGACAAGGGGTGATGGGAGTCTCACTTTTTTTTTCCCCAGGCCCCTCAAAACTTGGCAACAGTACGTGAAAGCGGTGACCCGTGTACTGAAATGCGCCAGATTTTAGAGGGGTTTTTCAGAAGTCCCCCTCTCTGTGCTCAGAGCCCCGGGCGACTAGCACATTAAATGCGTGGCACGCTCTTCTCTTCCTGCTTCCTCAGGTCCAGCGGCCGGCTGTCCTGCCCTGCCTCTCATCGCGGACTCTCCCTCACCCCTCCTTCTACTCGCTGTACGTGGCCATGGGGTCCGTGCACGGAGCTCGGAATCGCAGCGGTCACCCCAACAGGCAGCCAGGTAACCCCAGCCTGCCAGCCCCAGGGAGAAGGGAGCAGGGAAGCTCGGATCTGGGCTGTGGTGGGCGCACGTCGGTATCTTTCATTTCACCCCCCATCCTCATCCTGTTTGCAATTAAGTGTAGTTTCCCTCACCCCACGTGTTT